TTTCTTCAGTCTTGCTTTAACTTCCAAAATATTTGCTATCGAGTCAGGTAGTCCGTGACTAAGGTATGGGCACTAAAGTTTGTCAGTAAAATGATATTTGAATTAAACTAAGTATTTATGTTGAAATATATTATTTATTTGAGATAATTATCGAAAGTGGACCTTGTTCAGCAGCTTGAGATATTTTTTCTTTTTCATTTTCAAATAAATTAACAAAATAATTACTATCAAACTCGGATAGCTTCGATTTGATTCTTCTCTCAGGTTGTGAGAAATTATCAGCTTTCCAGTTATTGGAATAAACTTTTTGTTTGAGATGAGCCCAAAATCTTTCAATCGACCTTAATTGTGGTACATTGGGTGGGTTTAAGTCCTTTTTTACATAATTAATCTCGAATTTTTCGAGTATTTCAATTGTCCCTTTTGCGTAGTGACAAGAAACGCCATCTGGTTGACAAACTCTGGAAATACGCGAAAGTCCGAAATACCAATAACCAAACATATTCCAGGAGAAAGGTCACCTAAAAAAACCTATAAAATCTTATCAAACCTCTGGCTCACGCAAGTTAAAGAATAGGCAGCACCGGGGTGAAAGTTGACAGACTCTGGAAATACGCGAAAGTCCGAACTGACAATAACCAAACATAGTCTAGGTGAAAGGCCATCAAAAAATACCTATAAAAATCTATCAAATCTCTGGCTCACTGACTTTCTTGCCAAATCTGGCAACTCCTTATACTTTAATGCACAAAAACTTAGTTAATTAGCTAACGGAGTATTGTTTGCAAAAAATAAACTTAAAGGTATGGTTATTTATCGTTTATAAGCCTCGAATATTCATTAAAAGTTGTTATCTCGATGTTATTTTTTCCGACTTCTAAACCCGTTTTTCATGCCTTAAGTCCGCACTGTGAAATTTATGCCTGTGGGGACTTTTGCTTGTTTATATGTCCTCTATCGAATGGTTCTATCAAATAGCTGGCTCACAATGGGTAGTTTTACATAGGCTTTCTGTCACCCTGTCACTGACAAACTTTAGAGCCCATACCTTACAACAATTCTGTGCTTACCTCTAGATTGATATCGTATCTAAACTAACTCATAAAGACAGCCGGTAAGACATCAGCGAAACCTTCAGCGAAAATTACTTGTGATTTTTACCACAAACATCTACCTTCATAAAGTTAATCATTGAAAGTATTATTTATGTAGATTCATAATTTATGGTTTATTTTCTTTAAAATACAGAAAGTTCCGCGAAATGAAACTGAACAGTTTTTTAATTTTGAAATCTTTAACGTTACTTGTTGGATTGTGATTGAATTGTTGGAAATGCTAAAATGAATGTTATACAAAGGGTGGCCAATGAAGTGACAAACGACGCTGTAATGGTGAACAAATTAGCAAATGTCAGTCCAATGTCATTACGACCCATTCTGTACATAAGTAATGATGCCTGAAAGATAATTTATAAATAAAGATAAAGGTAAACATAAAGATCAGTTATAGTTGATTTAATAACTTTTTGTTAATGGCTTTTACTTAATTCAACAAATAAACTCAACACTTATTGATTTGATATTTAGAAACATTGAGAGCATTGATCATGACCTCATCTCAAATCTAATTGATAAACCGTCGATCTGGAAGTAAATCTTGTTCATATATTAAAATGCAAGCTAACTTTAAAAATTGGCTGTGAATGATTTTGCTTTTATCATATTATAATTGTTAAAAAAACGACGAATATTTCGGCCAACTTTCAAGTATTCAGGTTTGAAGCGTCGACAACGTGTCTGCAACCCATTGCTGATCAATTACCTATCAATTACCTGGTACTGAACTAATAAGTGCTCTTGGTTAGTAAAATGAAAAATGAATTTATGAATACCCATGAAAAAGCATGCAAGTTTTTCTAGAAAAAAGGCAATAAATGCCGAAATAGCGAAAGTGACAATTAATTCTGTTGTACTGGTCTTCAATAAGTCCCGATGTACCGATTTATCAATTCATGAGGCTGACTTGTTAGCAAGAGACAATCAATGAAAAAAGACATTCGACTATTGATGGTTTCAGATTACAATGATAACCTGTGTGGATAAATTATGGGACTTTTTATAATGTGTTTGTATGGGTAAAAGTCCCATAATTTATCCATACAGGTTAAGCTTACCTCTGCGATATGATTTGAAGAGTTCTTTGTGAAGGATAATTGATATGTATGGTGAAAGCCTTTTGAGGCCAAATAGTTGATTTTGACCGCATTATATGTGATGAAAGCGGTCATCGACATAACAGCAATCAGTATACTCATTGAGATGAAATAATCAGTTAATGTATATGATAGGTAAATGATGCGATAAAGGTTAATCAAAATGAATAAGACATACAAAGAGAAAGAAGTGGCCAAAAAATAACGAATAAACTGGTCAGCTTTAAGTGTCAATTGCGAACCAATAGAGTGCAGCAAACGGATAGATCTCATGTTATCTTCAGTTGAATCGGGATGCTCGATTAGATATGCAAGTCGTTGATTTACGCGAGTAAATACGGAGCAAATAAAAAGTGCCAATTGAATTGGGAAATCAGTAACGAGTCCGATTAAAGCGGAGTAAATCAAGCTTAAACAAGATATCAAAATGAACTCGTAAGCATCTTTTGGTTTAAAACTAAGATCAGATTGATAGATGGATAGAGTAGCTGGTACTGTGAAAACACCATTAATGACACAAATAAAGCGACGGTACTTTCGAAGTTGACTCTTAATATTATTGATAGTCTCTGGATCGTTTTGTAAACCCGTTTGAGACCAAATTTCCTTAAATTCAACAAATCGTTTCCAATCGCATACAAATAGCAGGAAAAAGTAAACATTGATGACGGAAAATCCGTTTAAAAATTGCAAAATACACAAATTTTTTTCTGCTAAAGTTTCGCAGGTCAAAAAGTTTTTATAAGCAACATACATGATGAACGATCCAATTGACACGACCAGAGACAAAAAAATTGCCAATAGAAAGTATCGCATTCTTCGATTCTTTTTGTCGACAATAACCGTAAAGATGCTCGATATTTCAATGCCTTTATCCATTTCAGGCACTGGTTTATTGTCACTGCTTATAATTAACATTATCAAAATATTTGCTAAAGGAGATTGAAGTTGGATGAGCGAGTTCATTAGAAGTAGTGATCACCTACATGAATATGATATCGTTATATTTATGAGTAGGATTTTATGTCAGATCTGCTCAAGTTTCCTGCAATCAAGATTTGTCTGATTGATTATTCCAAAAGAACAATTTGTCTACATTGCTATTAGCTCAAGTCTGGTTTACCATTTTGTTTGTTGATCAGAGTTTGTTTAAGATACAGATTTCGTCGCTAATTCTGCATGAATTGATTAATTGAATCGAGTCAAGTAACCTGTGTGGATAAATTATGGGACTTTTTGGTAATTCGTTTGTAATTAGTTTATTAATCAATAGAATTTTTTCAAACTTAATCAATATTTAGGGTAACAATTAACAATCAAATTAAGCTATTTAGTCCGGACTTAATGGCTTGATCAACTTTTTTAGGGACACTTGACATGAGGTTACGAAAATATTCGGAATTAAATTCTTTCAACTTGATTCTGATTCTATTCTTGAGTTGATTTGCATTTTTGGCTTTGAATCCGTTAGCATAGACCTTTGACTTTAAATGAGACCAAAAAGTTTCGATTGGCCTTAGCATTGGTACGACTGGTGGGTTCGCGATCTTTGAGACGTACCTTATTTTAAGTTCTTCCAGAGCTTGCAGTGTAGCGTTTGCATAGTGACAAGAGGCAAGATCGGGCCAAAAAAGGACTTTTTTCTTGTCATTCAGGTCAACAAAAGGTGCAAGTTTGCCTTGAATACAATTTTTGATATAATAGTTAGCGTTAAGAGCTCCATCGCATTCATGGAAATAAGGTGATGAAACTCCTTGAGAACTTATTGCTACCCAAATTAATAGCTTTTTGCCGTATTTTGCTTTAGGTCGATATCTTACTGTATCAGGTACATCATCAGGGCATTCAACATAGCTGTAGTATTGTCCTCCGAAAAAATCGTGTCCATCCAGGTCGAAATACGACTCATCATCCATTATCAATATCGACCCACGAAGGGCTCTTCTGAGTAACGGTAACGCTTGGATTTGTCTTTGCTCTTGCTTTTCGGTTCTTTTGGGTATTTTACGTCTTTTTGCCACTCGAACTCCAAGTTCATCAGCTATTTTCTTTGCTGTTTTGGTATCATGACCAATAGCACGACCGATTGCTCGAAAACCAGGAAAAATCTTCTTGTCAGTCATTTTAATGATCTTGTTAGATTGACGTTTTTTGGCCTGGATTGCAGGTCTACCGGCAAGGTTTTGCAATGATTTTCTTGTCCCACTAGATAACAGATCATAGTAGCGATAGCTGGTAGTTTTTTTAGCTCCAAACTCTTGAAATTTGGACACAATTGCGGTCCTATCAAGTTTATCACAATATTCAAAGTAAAATTTTTCACAGACTTCACGACAAGTACTCTGTTTCATGGTTAATTACTAACTAACAATTATGATCTGACCATTCAAATTGCAACCATTTGTCCCTAAAGTAATGACTAACATATTGTGCAACTGAATTCCTCAAAGATTCAGTCGTTCTCATGAGAGATGAATAAACGTTTCAAGTCCCATAATTTATCCACACAGGTTATTTACCTAGTGGAAGTATTACGTAATAAGTTACAAATGTTTTCATTAATTTGCTCGGAAGCTCTTATGGCTAAGATTGAAATTTCAAAAATGATTAAGGAAATGATTAAGCTTCGATCGATACTCTATTAAAACTGACAAGTGCGTATGTATTAAAATTTCAATGAAAAATTATTATCAATGAACCATCTTCTTTTGACTTTACTGCACGTTTGCAGCATGTTTACAGCTTTATTTCAAAGCGTCATGAAAATGTTCCCTTCTGATGGGAAAGGTCATTGAGTAAAACATGATTCAGTTTAGTTTATTTTCAGTTTGATTAGAAATTATTTACAAAATTTGCATCTTCACTTGCAAATGGAATCTATTTAACATTTGATTAAATTTCGTATTCTTTGCATTTCTGGCAGTGTACATTAATCAATACAATTATGACATTTCCTTTCCTTTCAAGACAGTCCAATTCATAAATCAGAATACAGTTCAACTTTAATTGTTTACATTTCATCTTATATTTTAATTATTAAACAAGGCCTTGAAAAACTATCTTTCTATACTCAATATATTTACAGCACAAGAGTACGAAAAGTGTCCATTTTTGCATAATCTCGTTTCCATTCACTATATTTTACTGTTATTACATTTGATTATTATCTTATTTTGCTCAATATATAAACAGTAATGGCTAGTACAATAACAATTGTTAACAACTTACATTGCCATAATGTATGATTATCACAATGATGTTACATCATTGAAAATTGTTGATTGAATAACATTATACAGCATTGACAATGGAGTTAGACCTCGTTATCTTATTGCTTGGTATCCAAGTATATCGATGGGCATTTTTCCTGACAAATTAATTTCAATCAACATTGATTCAAATCTTTTGAATGTAAATCACTAGACTGTGTTTGACTGAAATCTTCATTTTATGTTGAAAGCAATTTATCGCGAAAAATTTAGCACCAGTATACTTGGATACGAAGAAATGCGCAAAGGATAAAGTAACGAGGTTTAACTCCATTTCCAATTCTGTATTAGTAACAAATATAACTAACAATTGAATAGGTTGAATTGGCACAATTGTTTATCTGGTTTGGCATAATTGTGTTTAACGTTGAATGAGCATAAAAAAGTCTCATGAGGACAGAGAGATGAAAAAAGCGAATCGAGATTCTCGAAAAAAACGAAGGAGTTTAACGATGTGAACAATCACATTCATATTGCAATGGCGTTGGTACTTTTCGCGTCTCAAGAACATGGTGAATCCCATTTTCTTGTGTCAAAATGTCCATTCCATCCGGTACATAAGTCGGTACATTTTGCAAGCACTTTGAACATTGCCGTCTAATTGCAGGTCTTTGCCGTGATGCACGACATTTCATTGCAAATTTTAGCTCTTCCGTCATCTCAGAGCACAGCGATTGCTACAAAAAATGAGAAAGAAAAAGTATTTTCATTAGAAAATAAAATCACTCAAATGGCACATTCATCAGTTGCATGGTGACCTCTATTGAGAGTAAAGGCTAGCATGAAATTGCAATCAAGAAATCGACAGAAAAGTAATCATGAAATGATTGTTTAATTGTTACTTACTCTTTGATTGTTTGCATTTCTCTTTGAATTCCAACAAAACTCAATGAGAGCAGTAATTATAGCCACAGCCAAGCCTCCCATGAGGACAACAAAAACACCTCCAATATTATCAACTCCCAGAGCATTTGCTTTTCCCTCTTTATTTTTATCATCTCGATTACATGCAATGCCAGAATTTTTCCACCATTTATTGTACAACATTTGAATAACACCTTTTTCTTGAAGGTCAAGAATAGTTAATGATATTTTATCCCTCCAAGGAGAACCTGAATAGCAATAAAAGTTGAACTCCCAGCATTAAGTTTTGCAATTACAAAAGTAAAACAAACATTTAAACTTTGATGTAACTCACCAATTGGCGTAGCAATACCATAACCTTTGGAATCAAGTAAACCTCCAATTTGAGTTAAATTACAGTTGCGTTGAACGATATAGTCCAACATGGTCGACTCCATGAGAAAGGCATAATTTCCCTCCAAGACTCTTTTCACTCCCTCCTCATAAGTGGATACAAAAACGTTTGGTTTGTTTTCCATGAATCGCCACATTTTCTGGTACGTTTCAATGCGCGAGTCACGAAAAAAAGTCATGGTCGAACCCGAGTCAAGAGTACCATACGCAATTTTGGACTGAGAGGCTAAATCTTCAACCGACTCAATGGGAGTAATCATACGTTCAACGGTTAAAAAGGCAGCCAAGTTGGCTGTATAAGATGATATCAAGATGAGAGTAAAGAACCACCAGATGGCTCCAATGATTCTAGTTGAAACGGCTCTTGGATTGAGATCACAACCTTGATGCATGAGGGTCACAATGGTGAACCAAAAGGAATTGGCAACGGAAAACTGGTTCTCCATGATGTCATTGTCAGTGACACAGGGATGAGGATTTTGCCACTCGTAGGGACTGAAGCGAGCCACGATAAACATGGTAAAGCTGACCAAGATGTAAGCAGCCAACACGTACAGCCAAATGTCCACATCGAGGGGACTCATGAAGGAAAAGAGTCGAGTCGGTGCTTGGGATGGAAGTTTAAACAAAATTCCAATTCCAAGGTTCATAAAGGGTTTGGTGAAATCAATGACACTTTCACGAGCATAGTTGATTGTCATGGAGGCAACGGCAAGATCAGCATTCTGTTGATGAAATTCAAGTGAAAAGATAATAATGATGAAAAGTGGAAAAAAAAGTTGACAAATGATGAGGAGAAAAAGAAAAAGGCAGAAAAAAAGAATCAAAGGATTAAGCATATTGCATGATGAGACAAGATGAGGTAAAAAAAGCAACAACACATTGATGTGATTACTTTCAATATAACTGGAAATGTTGAATGTTAAGAGAGAAAAAAAGTTTCGACAAGATTTTTTTCTCTTCTTTTCTCAGCCTTTTTCCGTTGAGACTGAGCTTAATATTTTTTTCTGTTTTCATCTCATTTTTTATCTCTTTACTCTGATTCGGCTAAACATCGATTGAACATTTGACTTTTCTTGATTTTCATGAGGATAAAGGAAAACTTTTTTTCTCTCTTTTCTTTTCTTCCTGTTGAACTTAGAATTCAGATGTTACAGAAGAAAAAACGGAAAATTTGGAAAACAATCAAAAGTCGACTCTCATCATGGTTATGATCATCATCTTCATCATGTCATGATGAGAAAAAAAAGAAGAAAAAGATTTCATCTTTTCAGGAAATGAGCTTCTTGTTTTGCCTTTGAATCTTTACTCACAAGTATCATGTTTTTCCCATGTAAACAAGCCTCAATAATGAGATACAAAAGTAGAAACTGAAAAATCATTCAAAACTTTCAGGTAAATTCAATATTTTCAACTCGAACTAAGGAAATTTGAACGATTCTAAAATGTGTATTTAATTATCCAAGAATAAAAGTTGGAATTAAGTTTCAATTGAAAAAGTTTTACCTTCTGTTGACTGAATAAACTTGACAAATTTTTTCATGAAACATGAAATGTTCATTTGGAAAGAAAAAAAACTCTGATTGAGTAACCGTGAAAATTGATGAATACTAAACCTTTAATTAACCATAAACAAGTGACCTTTAATCCAGTTATCAATTGAATTTGCTTTCCTCTGAAACCCTTTACTAACCTGTACAATGAATAGACTCATCCATTCATAAGCTGATTAACAATCACTTTTGTTGTAAAATATGGAAAAGTTGAAACTCAATTTGTCAAATTGATAAACTAAATTGCAAGAGTAAAAAGTTTTCAACTTTGAAAAGTTGAACAAAATACAATTTTGGCATTTTCATCATTATTTGATAAAAAATGGTTTACATTTATTTTATTATCTTCATTAATAACAAAGTGTTATTAGTATTTTTTTACGTTTCATTTAAATTACCTTTTCGCTTCAAAGTCAACAAATTTTACGCATTTATTAAAGTTTATTACCAAACTAATTACTTAATTGTTTTTACTCAAAATTTAATAACAAATTTTCTCGACTCGACACTAATTAGAGCTTTGATTCAGATTGAATTTAATTAAACCCATTAAAACCATTAATGTGAGCAGTAAAGTTGCTCCAAAACTGAGGAAAAAGGTTTTGGATTTTGTTGGCCAACTTTGAAACTTGAATAATGTTGAGTTTTTTTCACTCAAATTTGGTTAATTTTTGGTATTAAAATTGAAAAGCTTTCATGTTGCTAAACAAAAGGTTGTAACATTAAAAATTGAAACTTTCAAGTCTTTTTTTGCCTTTTTTTTGAATTTTTACTCGATTTATTTTCGTTTATGGTTTACCTTGTCGATGATTTCTCGAACCAAACCATTCCATTCTCCGGTTGTTGTGTTTTCTGCTCCAAACTTTTTATCAGGAACTTCGTAGAGATTATATTTGAATCCAAGAGATTTCGATATTGCCTCAAGTAGATCAATACAGAATCCTTCAAATTTATCATTACCTGTCCAATTACCTTTCTTGTACATAACATAGGGAATTGAGATGATTGTTGTTATACGCAAGGTTATATTTTTGGAGCCAAATTCATGGAAAGCTTCATGATTGGAGACATTTAAACCACTCCAAGTGGTCCATTCACCAACCTGAAAAGAAGAAGAAGAAACATGAATATGAAAATCAAAGAGCAAACATTTTCCATTCAAGACAAAAACTCGTAAACTGATGGATAAAGTTTCTCAATTTTCATTGAAACTTTCAAATTTTCAAATCGAAAGTTGAAAAAGTTTTTTTCGCTTCTAAAAATTTCTTGACCAAAAAGTTAAATTTTTCACTCAGTTTTGGCTACAAGTTGATGAAAATCTGGTGAAAAGTTTTATTCTCAAAAAGAGGGAAAAAGTGTCAGGAAAAGTTGATCAGATTAAGAAGTGTATAAGTCATTGCAATAAGTTTAACGTTTAATGTTTTGTTGCAACAAGCGACTGAAAAGTATACAGAGTTTAGTAAAACCTCAGAGAAATGATCAGAAACCGAGAGAAAAAAGGAAACAAAAAAGAGGTTAAAATGGTCTTCTTTTTGTTGTATTATAAGAGATTAGAAAGAGTTGAGATGTTCTTTGGACACAATTGTTTCTCGAGATTCACTTTCCAAGGGAATCACATGGGAAATTCAGCATTTCACTCGTCAAAAAGTGAACATATACACATAATCGATTTTTTCGCGTTTCAATTTCTTTTCTTTCCTCAGTCTTGGTCTTCTTCTTTTGCTTCCTTTTTTTCATTCCATTTTCATTCTAGTTCATCCTTTTAGCCATTCTCTTGCTCAGTATAAAGGTTGACAGGTAATTGGCTTTATTTATGCTAAACACCAGCAGAAGATGCGAAAAGGAAAAGCAGTTTGAGATTGAAAGGGAATCCAATCTAAACAAGAGAATATCATTTTGACTGAATAAATACATCTTGCATGATAAACTATACATGTACATGATATTGTAATGAATCACTTGTCTTTTGCAAAACACAAAAATTTCAAGTCAACACAGAAGGAGAGTTAAAAAAGATTGGACAGTTTGAAAGTTGTGAGGTCAATTTGTCAGGTTAAATCGAGGCTGATTCAGAGTCAACCTTTTCTGACTAACCAATTGGCAGGTTTATGATGAAAACGGTGGTAACACAGAGTTTAATGAAAAATGACTAAATCAAATTGAGGCAACATTTCCAGTTGAAATTTACTCCTCTTGATGAAGAGTGAAACCAAGCTGAGGTTTGATCTACTTGACCAGCATACAGTTTGAAGTCAACCTTTATTTTGTTTATAAATGTTGAGTTTTTTTTTGTTTCAATTGATTGCCTGACTTGATGGACGAGTGCAACTGAACCAGACAGAATGATATGAAGCAAATGATGGGAGGTTTACCAGCAAGCATAAGAGGTAAAAGGTGAAGAGGTGGATAAAAAGGTAAGAAGATGAAATTGTTGTATTGACTTTTCCACTTTCTTGTTGTTTCTGATAAGATGATGATGAGTATGAAGGCAAAACAAAATCAAACTCTTAACCCTTGAAAATAAATAAACTGTAGGTAAACAATGCTGTGTATTTTGTAACAAGTATTATTAACATTTTTTTTTGCTTGTTATCATTATTTGTAAAAACAAGTATTCATTTAATGGGAATTGGTGAGATAAGGCAACAATGAAGAGGAGCGAAAAAGTGAAAACAAAATAATAGCAATAACATCATTTTCTTTGTTCAATTCAATGAATCAATCTCTTCATTTATTATAATCTCTTCGCAAGAGTCAATGTTATCCAGCCCTTTATATCCAGTCAACAGGCCTAGACTCAACAGCAATATATTGCTTATTTCGATGAGCAACTCAAAGAAGCTGTCGGGATCAAACGAGAATTTCCGGCCTCATCCAGGTCACTTTGATCAATCCAAGTTATAAATACTGTAATACATTTCATTCCAGAACCCAGAACTTATATTTCCCTAACACTGTCAACATTCCCTTCAACCATAAAGTTAGATTTGGTTTCGATCCTTTTTGCTTTTCTGCTTCTCAAATTATTTTTCTTAACTTTGCTGAGCATTAATTTTAGCTTGTTTTGTGGCTTAAAATTTGAATCAATTAATCAACTTATTTTGCCTGTTATAATAAAAATAAATGATTACTGAAACCCCATAAAATGATAATTGAAATGCAATTTTTACGCAAATCATTTCATTTTTTCGTTAAAACCTGAAACTAACAGTTTTGACTGATGAATTGAAAACTTGCGTGAAGAATGTTTCAATTTTTTTAAGTAATGAAATGAATTATCAGAGCTTTTTTTGCCAAAAGCATTCAGAATCGTAAAGTTCAGAGAAACATTCGAAATGAAAATGTTTTTTCGGAAAAATTAAAAAAGATTTACAATAAAAGATGAAGTTACTTTTGTTGTTCTAAACATTATCTGAATTAATCATTTTCATTTCTTAATTTTCTTAAAATGCTCATGACATCAATTTGGCTTCAATAGAATCAGCTCGAGAAGAAGAATCCAAAATTTAAAAATAAAAAAGTAAACTCCTAAAGTAAAAAAACATTTTCTACATTTGTTTCCATTTAATTTTCAGAGTTGAAGTCTTTCATTTTAAATGGATAAATAAATGTGCAAAATTGTGTAAAATGTTTGTCTCATCATTCCTTACCTTATCAAGTTTATCATTACGCAGTTTGAGCAAATCAAGTTTAAGCGTGCTTCGTCGTCCCTCTTTGAATAAAATCCTGCCAGTGAGTCCATTAAACTCGGCCTGAAATTGAATAGCAAACAGAAAAGACAAAATTAGAAACCAGACTGGATGTGGGTTTATTTAGATATCATATTTATATTAATATTTCAAAGGTTATTTCATTTTACATTTCATCATTTTTTTCTGTCTTTAGTTTTTCTTCACATGAACATGCTGAATGATGAAACAGAAAAGGTTGAAGATGAAGAGAATGAAAAACAGTAAAAAAATGTTTCATTTCATCAGCAAAATGATGAAAGATGTGAATAAAGATGATGTTGATTACATAAAAACATTTGCTTCAACTTAATATTGACACAAAAATATTATGTAAATAGCAGGATAAATGTTTAATATTTAATATGAATAAACAGAAAAATGACATAATAATGTGAACAGCAAAAAGAAAAGTGAATTTTTGTTCAAAAAAATTCAACATTTTACCAATGAAGTGTGATTTAATCAAAAATGAACTTTCACCAGAAACTCAATTCATTATCAAACTCTAATTTTCAATTTTAGTAAACAGTAAAATGTAAAGCTTGTCCAACTGTGTGGTAATTACCAAAGGTCATTCTGATATTCAGTCGATTCTAACCATTATTCAATGATGATTATTTGAGTTAAATTATCCGTAACTCAAGAATCTCCAACAGAAGATACAAGATTTTTTGCAAATCTTTTTTTTCCAGGAAAAAGAAAAACAGAAAAAAAAGAAAAGCAAACAAAGTGGCAAAAATTTTTACATTATAATGCTATTAGATGAATGGAAAGAAACATCAACAAGAAAAATATCATCATCATTATTAAGATAAACAGTCGAAGAGTTGATAACGAGAAAAATATTGTTTCAAAATGAATTTCTAGTTTGAATGAGAGTTTATCATTTAAGGGTTAAGGATAACATTATCAGCAAGTTGGCAGACAAATGGATTCCTAATGAACCAGATTGCAGGTTGGAAGGCGCAGCAAGACTGGAAAACTCATGGATTCAAGGTTTGGATGGACAAGAAGAAGAAAAGCTTTTCTTCATTTTATCCTGAAAATGATTCACATTTGCTCAGCTTGCACTAGACTAGAGTATTTTATTGTGATCATGATGATAATGATTTAAGCGTAATTGCCATAAAAACTTGGTGAATGTCTCGAAAGATTTACACAAAACGATAAACTTAACGATTTACAGTAAAACTGTTGACTTTTCCAATCTTGACTCAACATTGAATTGCAAGGATTTACATTAATTTTACAGTTGTGCACACTTTTGGTCAACTGATTGTTTGATAATCCAAAAGGATTGGAGAATCATTTTTGCTCTTTTTTGTGTTCGAATACATTTTTTTCTGCCTTTTGTCACCATTTCATTATTGGATAATTTATCACTTTTTTCAGGTTTACTCTCAGATAAATGGCAAGCGCCTTTTGTAGAGACAAATGTTTAACCATTATGAATGTTGGCTTGTTATTGAAAGTGAATCCTGTCAACTCATTATATCTACTTGTTTGCTTAATAAAGATTTACATGATTGTTTCGTTTCGCTCTGGTTTTCCCTGGAAAAACATGTTCAGTGTAAATATACTTTTAGGATTCATAATTTTTCTGCTCTTCTGTCAAATTGAGAGATTATGAATGGAGCAAAATCATTCATAAATAGAGTGATTAGCAAACCCAAATAAACATGATATAATGATAATGAATAGCAGAGAGTGAAAAGGGAAAAGTCATTTTTGTTCATCAACCTTTTCGAAAAAGAATTTTTGGAATCGAAAAAAAAAGTTTGATAGAAAAATAATTTGCCATTTTATAATATTTGTAAAGGTAAACTTGGAAATGTTGAGCAAATGATTTAACTTATGATTGATTTGGAAATGAGTAATTTTAGTTTTGTACTTACAGCATTAACATAGTTGAAAAGGCTACTTCCATCGACCCAAGGTTTCTCCTCGTTACAGGAAACATTGCTTGGCCTGAGAGTGGTTCCTCTGCCAAGTGCTTGGAGTCCTCGAGCAAATGCATAAACAGAATCAAACATGAGCGCCGATTCTGCCTGTGAAACAATCAACAAGCAATGGTCAAAGAAGAGTTCAAAATTCTTTGGAATGAAACTTAAAACATTTGCTAACCCAACTTCAGCATTCATTTAAACAGATGAAAATTGAGTTTCAGTTCTGCTTGCTACATTATCTCAAGGTTTCTCAAAGTTGTCTAAAAGTTTATCAGAACTTGTTCAAAATTGATTCTTGGAGTTGGACAGTAAAAAAGTGTGAAATTAATGCTTTCAAAAGACCATTTTGCTATTGAAATTGAAAAAGGCTCAAAACTTTTTTGAAAGATGAAATGAAAATATTTTTTTTTCCTTTTCAGCATATTGATAGACATTCATATCAATCTAAATATTTCACATTTGTCGAAATATTGATTTCTTTCAACCTGAAAATATTACAAATTACCATTGAAGGTTAAAATTTCAAAATGAAAAAGTTTGAAATGTTTGGAAAGTTGGTGAGCAAGGAGTGAGAAATGATTAAAAGCTGGAAATGCAAATGAATACTCACCCGAATCACATTAGTTTTATTGGAATTTGGTCCGTAGTTTTGAAATTTTTCCATATCTTTCAATATTTCCCGAACATTTAAATCATCCGAGTCAACCATACGAAAGGCAGTCATGTTTACAAAATTGTATCTAAAATCTTCTAAATCATGAGATTCAATATCAAAAGTTGTGAAATGATAATGATATTTGTAGTTGTTCATTTGAATTTGTAAAATCTGTTTTTTTCCAATGAACAAGAGAGGGAAAGAGAAAGGGTTGAATGAAGGAAGAAGAAGAAGAAGAAGAAAAGTGAATTGAATTGTAATAAGATTGTGATATAAAATAAAAACAACAAAATGTTTCATTGTATTGAATGTAAACAAGATTTGGATGAGAAGAAAAAACAAAATGATTAAATTACTTAGCAATTGAATAACACTTTTAACCCAATTTTTTATTCATCGCATTTAACCCCGATTCACTGATTGTCCAAATTGTGCAAATTCAAAGATTAGGATCGAAGGTAAATTCAAAAGATTAACGTGTTTACACGAATCAAGCACAGCACTAACAAGTGAGTCAAGATTATGTCTTCTAATGTCTTTGGATAAAAACGTTATTTTCAATTTAATCGATGAATCCATCGCTGGAGGAAAACACTCGTTAGCACTGTTCTTGATTTTGCGCTAACACGGTAACTATTGGTTAGCATTTGAACTAGACCAACATTGGTTGGAATTGATAACCAAATGGTTATATTGAATCAGAGTTTATAAGTTTATTGAAATAGTCTTTTGGTCATTTCTTTTAATATTTTTAGTTTACTTGAAGATTTTATTTGTGATTTGAAATTTCTCTTCAACTTGATGTTCATTTAATATCAAACTTGGTCAATCTGGTGAAGACTGTAATTGAGTCGAGATGAAACTGATTGAAGAGATTATCGGCTTTTGAATGAAACTTTTTTTTCTCATTTTATTTCATGTTATCTTGCAATCCAAAATGGATGAAACCATCTGACATAGATAATCGTTTATCCGGAAATGGATAGTCCAGTATGATGAATTTCACTCGACTTTTTCATGTTCCATCAGTGATATTTTTTCAGACAATTTTTTTCCCTTCTAAATCAGCTTGTAAAAGCTGTTGCAATGAAAAGGTTTAATGGAAGAGCCAAAGTTTTCCTCTTTTTTGTTCAACTTTCAAATTTTCTCATTTTTTTGTTATCATTTCAATGTTTTCTCAGAGCAAACTGGCAACAAGATGAAGAAGGTGTTGAAGATTAGGAAGAGGATGAAGGTGCAAAAATATTTACATTGACCTACAAGTGAATTGGAATTATGTGAACCGGAAGGAATGTGATCCATTTCATGGAACAAGAAAATGATGTTGCTGATGAAATGGTGAACAGAGTTTGTCTTTGTATTACCTTTCAAGTGCAAAAATTTTTCATTCTCTTTTCATTCTCTTCTCTTTTAATCTTGGCCATCTTCTTCTTTCTTTTTTTGCTTCTCTTTTCTCTTCACTCAATCATCTTATCATCCTCATTTTCTGATCTCTAAAGGAAATCGTAGCTTTGGTCCGGAAGGAGTAATCTTCTTGTCTGGTCAATAGATTGTTTTGGTGGAAAGAAAAGGTGAAAAGGAAAGAAAAGAAAAGAAAATAACGTTTCTTTGTTTTCACTGTTGGAGTTGAAACTAGCAAAAAAAAGGTACAATCTTAGGTAAAGTTTCAACATTTGAGGATAAAGTTTCAATTCTGTGTAAACTATTTCACATTTTCATACACAAACCACAGAATAAACTTTTTTGTTACATTTCTCTGACAAAGTTGACTTGAAAAAGACGAGGTAAAAGAGGAAGGCAAAAATGTTGATTTGCTTCCTATTCATGTTGTTGGACAAACAAACATTTGGAAGGAACTAAAGCCTAAAAAAATCGACTTTTCCACTGACATCATTTCGACCATGATTTTGGATTCGACTTTCATTTGCATACATCTGAGACTTTCGATGAATAAGTTTTATCAGCTGTCAATGGTTGAACATATCCTGAAGTCCAAATATTTGGAATCAGCTTTTCTCGTCTCTTTACAAGAATGTAGTTTAGTTCATAACTCGACAGTTTAATTTGCATCGAAAGACTTTTCTTTGAATATCATTGAAAATTGTTCGATTAAATGCTAGAAATCTCAAGAATTAATTACAAAAGTATCATGAAGAGAGAAATTTAGACTTAAGATGGACATTTTAAATGGTCAAGAACATTAAATACTTTTGTGAATCATTTTGTTGAAATCTTTTTAAGTCTCAATACTTACAGCTTTTAGTAATAAATGCAAATGTTCAGGTTTAGTATCGATTATCACACTGTAAATACCACGAGTTCGAATATCCATTAAAATTGAACGGAATTGACTGGGATCTGTTTTACGAAAAATGAATTGGACACTTTTTGGCATTGGCGCTTTAACCAATTGTTGAAGCTTAATCAGGGCTGCAGGTGAGGAAATGGAAAAAGAAACAAAAATTTTTACGTTATAATGTGAAATGGGCAAGAAAAGAATGCATGAAATAAAATTAGAACCGTTTATTCAAGTTGCATTCCAATCTTTTCTCAACCTTCGACTGGACTAAATGAATGTTCAACGAAAACATGTAAACAGACTTGCATGAGAATAGAATGTTGAAATTGAATGTTCTTTGAAATCGATCAATTTACGTATTAATGAATATTCGTGAAGATATTGACAGTCAACAGAATGATGGAAAAGGAGCAAATCTGTTGGTTTAAAGGGAAATGATGAAAAATTGAATGTTCAATAACTCAAATTGATAAATCGCTAGTTTATCGTAAAATGATTTGCTCCATTGTAATGTACATGGAAATTGATACTGATTTGTTATCTTCATTTTCAACATTTTCAGGGCAATAAATTTTACTCTGCAAGTTGAGCACATTGAACACATGCATTATCGTTGAAAGTTGAATAAATTTGAATTCAAGGGAAATGACTGTTGAACTTTTGGCAAAGGAAATTCAGGGGAAAAAAGTAGAGAAAGTTATGTAAAAATTGTTGAAATGAAAATACAAGAGTAAAGGTAAAATTGAATGGAAAAAAAGAAGAAGGAAAATGTTGCTCAAAATAATTGTTTTCCGATTGACTGACCAACTTTTCAACAGATAAATAATTTTCATGAATGAATCTTAACGTTCAATCCATCGTCTTATTCATTGAAAAGGTTTCCAATTGAGAATTGAAGAAAGATTGAAGAATATTCGAACAAGTAAAAACATCTCAAAGTTGCCTCAAGGCTTTACCAGAGTAAATACAAAATTCATCCAACATGATATCAAGTAATAGTTGCTTTTGTTGTTAACAATGAGAAAAAGAAGAAGAAAGTAAAATTTTTTTTTCTCTTGCAAAGTTTTCTTCAATTTAATCATCAACTTTCGATGGTTGGCATTGCTCGATAAATTTCATTTCTCTATCAGCTAATTATTCAAGTTTACTTTTTCATGCTGATGTTTCATCTTTTCGTGTGATGAGTTGATCCAAGGTTTGACTTTCCATGTCCATCAAATGTCGACTAAATCCTCATCAAATATCACTAAACATTAGTTTACAGTTTTTGCTTAACCTTTAATTTTCTGAGCAATATTTGTTCAATGGTTTGTTTAACCAGAATTTTGTCAAAGAAAAGAGAGTTTTCTATAAAAAAAAGAAGTTGAACAAAATTGGAATTTTCATGGTAATTTGAATTGATTCAATGATTTACGATCTTTTTAATAGAGATGTAAATCTGAAGATAATTTATCTTTGAACAAGAAGGGAAATTTTCTTTCATCATTTTTCGATCAACAATAAGTTTCAGTATGAATTGTTCATTGAAATTAGAGTCAATCAATCATTTGACGAGAAGTTTTTCTTTCAGAGTTTAATTGCTATTAATCAAGGGATAATTAGTATTGATAAGTGTGATAAGAATTTAAAGTTTTCAATTGTTTTGCTAATCGAAATTTCACTTTCAATGAGTAAATGAAGTAGAGGTGAAAGAATGTTCAATTTCATTTGTGAATGGAATGCAATTGAATAAAGATAAAGTTGAGGTTGGAAAACAAAGGGAAAACTTACACAAATCTTGCTCATAAATGACGGCAATTTTGGTCCAATTTAAATACTTAATTAAATCACGTAAGGCATCACCGGTAATTACTGGATTAGGATACAAATTAATTGAGATTTCTTTAATTTCAGGCTCAAGGTCAACTCGTGATTCCATATGAGGTATATCCAAGGCATCGCACAGGGATTGAATATGATTTCCTAGAAGTGGGTTTTGCGGACCAAAAATGGCACTTACACCAGAGCCAACTTGATAACAAGCTTCAGAAACAAAAGCAAATACATTAAGTTACTTTTCCAGACGATGTTGCAGAAGATTCATAAGTAAAGATGTTTCCTCTTCAACGATTATTGGTCTTGAAACGTCTTAACTTATAAAATGAATTTCAACATATTAATAATCGACGATGAATGAGAGCAATTTACTGTGAATATCATTTCTTCAATGAAACGAATGAGGATAACCAAAATTTTGCATTTTCGGCCTAACAAGAAGGGCACCATTGCATTCACTTTTTTTCAACCTTTTGGGATTTAATCGTAGAAGAATAATAATATGAGATAAAAAACAAGTGTTTTGGCTTTTTTCACTCGGCAGATTTACGTGGGTTAGTGTATGTACTTTGCAGTAATTACATTACTATCGTTGCACAAAAATGCATGAATATCATCCGTGCTAAACTAGTTACTCTAAACTAAACTTTCTAAGATATCGAACTTCGAAATTTTCATTTATGAATGTTCAAAGCCGTGTCGTTTCTTTTTTACCTTTTCAAGATCACATCAGCTCTAGCACAATATTGTTCAAATACATAGAAATTGCATTTTTCTTGTTACATTGTACTTCAACTTGTTAAACTTGAATTGCTGATGATTTCCATTGTCTATTTGACCAGTCCCTTGTCAAAGAGTTGAAACAAATTGACTTGAAGGATCATAAATTTCGAGTAATTTGCTTGTTTATCACTGTTGGTGCAGAAAAATGGAAACCAAATTGTCTTTCACACAATCAATATATTGAATTACAAATTTGGTTTCTTTAGTTGCGTAAAAGCTGCATCCTAAAGATGTAAAAAAAGTGAGGAAAACACATTTTTACTGTAAATTTACAATTGCAGCTCGTTATTATAATAATTTGATTCAATGTTTAGCTGTGAGATGCAAGTCCAAATAAAAGGTAAAGAAAAAATGAGAAGAGTTTTGGTGAAATGCGAGAGTTTATTTTCCACTTTTCACCATGTAATTAACGTTGAATTGATTCCCAAGGAAATGAGCAATTATAATATTGAGACACATTCCCAGGATTGGGAGTTGAACTCTTCGCAAGAGTAAAAGTTGAACAGTAAAAACAGAAGAAGAGCGTAAAGCAAAACTCAGAATGAATTAAATATTAAACACTTCAACAGCCCAATCAATCTTCGCGAAACTCAATTAATTATCAAATTATTATCATTATGATATTCAAGTCAAAACTGGCAAGTTATCTGATTACAATTGCAAAGAGTCGAGTAGAGAAAAAAAAAGAGAAAAGCATTTTGAATGTAAAGCGAAAAGATGCTCAAGTTGAATAGAGATAAAAAATGTTTTCCCTTTTTTCTTCTTCTTCCATCATTATTATGTTCATCATATTGAACATCAAAGTCATCATATTCATCATCATGATAATCATTATGAAGCATGATGAGCCAACTCTGCTCAATTCACAACTCAAAGTGACAGTCCAAAAAGAAGGCGAACAAAATGTCTGTCAAAGTCAACTTGTCCATTTTGTAGAAAATTTCAATCTCCATTCTAATATGATAGTATTAAATATTGAGTTATATTATTCCGTGACGTTATAAGAGTTAACCTTCTCATCATCATGATAACAAATACAATACCAAATGCTCATGAGATTTATGTGAATAAAAGTATATATCATCCGTTGAACACATTTTACTCCATTTTATTCAACAGAAGCAAATATGTAGTATTAATATTATAACGAGTCTAAGAAAAAAATATCAATTCCCAGCAGAAAAATATTTACTCTTTTCTTTTTTCCTTCATTTTTTCTTCAACATTTCAGTTTAGTCTTTTTTTCAATATTTAGTTCTTTTTTCTGCTTTCTTGTCCAAATTTTGAACTCTCTTATTTACACTATTTTCACCCAAAGTTGAAACTGATTTTTGATTATGGATCAACAGCACAACGAGAAAAATGTACATTTATAAAGAAAAGATTGATAAAATGAAATTTGAAGGAAAAAATGAAATGGTTCAATCTGTATAACAAATGCTTATGGATATTTTTCATTTCAATGTACACTTTTTTTACAATAAGTATACTCTCAGTTCAGCTGACCTAAATGGTCATCATGATTTCATGTGAAGTTTATTGTTGAGATGCATTTTACGCTGATTTATCATTCCATCAACAATTGAATAAAGATAACTTGAGACATTTAAATGTTTAAAATTTGCTTTGAATCAAAATATTATCTGAATTTGAATAAGTGGCTAAATATTCAAGAATTACTTTCGTCGCTACCAGACTTTTAAGTGTCCATTTCACGAAGAAGACTGTTGTAAAATGTTTACATTAATAATAACAAGAATGAGCATCAAGACGAGGAAATGTCTCAAGTCACTTGAGTTCAACGATGAGACACGAAGTAGGGTCACTTGATGAGTTTGTAGTAACCTAAGATACTTCACTTGTTAGGTTGAAGTCAAATGCAGCAAATGGTCGTGACTCGACTTGTTCATATGAAGCAGAAGTATCAAGTTATCAAAGCAAAAGAAGATATCAAAACTCAGCATTCTTGAGCTTTTATTTCAAGTAATTTTTTTGAAATGAAAAGCAATAATTCAAAATTTTGTAGCATCGAGTTAGGTGTCGAAACTTTTTTGGTGGGAAATCACTCTTTAATAACATTGATCCATCAAATCCATTTTGTACCAGAAAATGATTCAACCAACAGTTAAAAAACTATTCAGAGCTTGTATGCTGTTAGTAAATTGTGAAAATGGATGAAATTGAGATGAAATGGAAAATTGTGACTGTGGTGAAAATTTCCCTCATTTTATTGAATTAAAGAGGTAAAAGAAATGGATTGAAACTCATTATTCTTGCATTGATAACTACAGTTTCATTTGTTCACATTTAATGTTGAGTTGATTGAATTTCCAGCGTAAAGTTACGATTGAGAAGCAGACAAACCATGTAAAAGAAAGCATTGTAAAACAGACAATTGACTCATTGCACCGTAAGATAAATTTCATCTTATTCAATGTTCAACATTAAGAAGAGTAAAAGAGATGAAAAAAATTCTTCTCGTTCAACACAATTTTTTCTTATAACTCTGGTTAATTCTTGACTGTCCTTTCATTATTCAGCCAAATCAACAGGATAGCCTGTCCTTTGGTAACACTGAAAAATTTCATTCATATATTTCATCTTCTGTTGCATTTGTTAGCCCATCTTCCGGTTTCCACCTTCATCAAGCAACCCACAACTTTATCAGAATCATTCTTCATGAAAAAGATTCACATTTATTTCCAGTCACTCATATGACATTAAAAGCTTATCATCATGATTACCTTCACCTTGCTTTCGATAAAAAACTTCATTCCAAAGTTATCTTCAGAACAGAATTAATAACATCAGATAAACCTCAATATCTTCCTCACTTGGAGTAAATAAATGATATTGAAATTTCAGTTAACATTTGATTCCCTTTTTAGAAAACATTTAATTATCGAAAAATGCGCAAGAATAAAATTCAACAATTGACAGCATTTGCATATAAAATGATGTATAAAAAGCATCATTTAACTGGAGTAAAACAAAATGGTAATCATGGAAAGGTTCAAGTAAATGAAGTCTAACATTATCATGTTATTATCATGACTGGGAGTTGAAAATGGAAAGTCACCCAAAAAAAGAGTGAAACACAATTTTCGCATCAAGTTATCATAATCTAATAACAGCGACAAAGATAATGTAACGAAATATTGCAATCAAATTTTATTCCATATTCATTGTTACAGCCATGAATTCAGAACTGTAAACAGATGATTCACAGAAATTCAACAACTGTAACTCTTTTCAATTTGGAGGTTTCAGCATAAAGAAATAATTGTTCAAATGAAGAAACTTTTGTGGCAGAAAAAAAGGCGAAAACAGGAAAATGGCAAACATCGAAATCGATAAATTTGAATGAAAATGTTGACAAAAGGAATGGAAAAATTTGATTATTCAACGTTTATTTTTTTCCATGTTATTATCCATGTATTTGTTTTTCAACACCCTCAAGCATTCCTTGTGTGTTTGTGTAAATATATACACTGGCCGAGAATAGGAAATGTAGATGGAACAAGAAATCAATGAAATTCAATATTCCAATGAATTTAGATCGACTGATAAACTTCATTAAATTGTACAAACTAATAACCAATGGTTTGAATTTGCATTGAAAAGAGTAGCACAAAGATGAATTTTAATGATAACTTGTTTTTTTTTTGTCATCCATGTTTTGTCAGCATTTTATGATGCAATTTGAATGAAAAGACATTTTGATTGTTAAACGTGAATATCATTTGAATGCAACAAGACTCAGTATCGACAAAATTAGCCTCATCAAGTTGACCTTTAGGCAACGATGAATGATAAATTTAGATTGAAAATAGAGATGAAAGTAAATAAAAGTCCAATTTGTTGCCATTACATATTGAGATGAGTTGGGATGAAAAGAGAAGCGCAAGAAAAGAAAATTTCATGGAAATTCATAGATACATGAAACATGTAAATGTAGTAAATATTAATATGAGCAGCCAAAGTTTGCTCAAAGTGGATGCTTGAAGGAAAAAAGTGGAGAAAAGATTAAAAAACATTTTCCTCACTCCCAGTTAAACTAATAAACTTGAGTAAACTGTTGCAAAGTATTGGGTAAACTTGTTCAATGAGCTTCATCATTTGTTCCTTTAATCTGGACAAGTTTAATTTTTTCAATTTTTTACATTTTTTTCTCCCTCTTTAGGCTCGTCATTTCCTTGGAGGTTAATATTTAGTGTAAAAATGGAATAAAAATGAGTTTTTTGAGCTTCTTTTTTTTGCTTTCCTTCTTTTCCTCCAATTCAAAGGTAAACAGTGTTTAATGTCTGTTGACAAAATACTCTTTTCTTCATTTAAAAGTTGAACATGTTTCAATGGAAACAATGATTAAATATTCTAACATTCATTTAAATTCAATTCATCATTCAATTGCGAACGACGAATGT